TGCAGTTCTCATGTTAATGCTGTTTTACTCTTATTAACAGAGGTTAATTGACTGAGTGCACTCACTGCTGTGAGCAGTCATCAACCTTCTTTGGAAGCTGCGGTGTGCAATAGCAGAGTGGTTTTGATAGCCACAGACTAGCTCAATGAATGGATATTAAGTGCTTTGATTGCACATTACAGTAGTTTTGGGAAGGAATGGCACAGCTACTTCCCTTTCTCTGTTTATATTGCTTTCTATGTGATATGAGGATTCTTTAAATGTTGTTGTAGTGTGCTTTTTATTTGTTTTCTAAACCATGTTAATGGACTGATGGATGACATGCCAAGAAAAAAAAATGAACGGAAATAGTCTTGGATGTTATTGCTGCAGTCATTTTCCCCCGAAGAAATGATAAAAATGCCAATGTGTTGTTGTGCTTAAAAATGTGTGCATGTTTGGGTCTGTCTGTCTTTTTTTTTTCTGTCACGCACGCACAAGCAAATAGACAGATGAAGAGGAGGTAGAGGTGTAGGAGGTAGAGATGATGGCATTCAGACAGTTTAAAGAGGGGCAGCAGTGAAATGCACAGTTTCAGAAAAGTTTGAAATGTGTGGAGGAGGAAGAATAATTTTACCAGCCACTCTTGTTTCTAGTTCTGAAGTCCTGATTGCTGTTTCTCTGAGGCATATGTATGTATGTATGTGTATATATATATATATATATATATGGTAATGTATAGTAAATCCTTTGAATGGAAACTGTTCTCTCAGGCATGAAGAGGAAATAAAGAATGAAGAAAAGTAATTGGAATGCTACAAACAAACTAAACACAATTTTTCCTTGTCCTAAAAACGCAAGGAATTAGGAATTGGAAGATATATTTCTAGCCTCAGAGATAAAAGCAGACATGTATCCTAACTCGGTTTTCACAGCTGAAAAAAGGAAACAGAATATGTGGTCAATCGTTTATGGGTGAGGCTGAGATGCACTTCACCCTACAGTGTAAAACATGCAACGGAGTAAAGAACAAGTTCAACACTGGGGCAATGGCGGGATGGTAATTAGTACTGTTGCCTCACAGCAAGGAGGCCCTGGGTTTGAATCCACTGGCCAGCCGGGGCCTGCTCCCTCTCACAGCCCAAAGGCAGGTATGTTAGGTTAACTGGTGGTTCTAAATTAGCTGTGCTGTAGATGAGAATGTAAGTCTGAATGACTGTGTGTCTCTTGGTGTTAGCCCTCTGATAGATGGTGACCTGTGGAGGGTGTGACCAAACTCTTCCCCAGACAGATGGTTGGATGGACAGATGAATAAATGTTCAACACAAATTTTCAGGTTTCAGAGAACTTAATGACCTTTGAAATGAGACAGAGGAAGCAAAGCTTTCTTAAAAGTCTTGTGACAACCAAGAGAGGGGGCATGAGAAAGAGAGAGAGAGTTGGTCCGTGGCCACTGGTGGTTTATGACCTTTTTAGTCACAACTCATTTTTAAACAGTCTGCATATAAATATGCCACAACAGCAGACAACCCATATACTATAGGGTGTTTGCCTTTTTCCTCCATCTTTATTTGTATTTAACAATTCTGGTTAACATTAGATGGATGGATGGATGGATGGATGATGGATGGATGATGGATGGAAGGATGGTGTTCAGTTTCTTATTACCGCACATGTCCTTGGATTTATCTGATGACCCCTTTAGTCACTAAAGCACCAGGCTAGGAAGCTCCAGCACATGTATAGTGGGCCTAATTCTTTTAAATAGAAATAATTATGGATGATTTGGGGTTTTTTGACCATTCAAAATCTTGTAGTATACTTAAATATGTTTGTAACACAATTTGGACATTCATCTGGAGATGAGTATGGATAAAAGCTGCATATTCATTGACTGATACACCCTGTGTGTGCAGCTTACTAACGTCTCTGGCAAGCCAAACTTCCAGGGCAGATGGCGGTCAAAGATGGCTCTCTGAACATCATGAAAACCACACAAGCAGAACTAATGAAGGAGGGCATGGTCTGGTGGCATATTGTCTGAGCCAAATGTTATTCTAGCCTGAGGTGCTGGGATTTGGCTTGCTGCTGTACAGTAGCTGAGTCATTTAGCATTAGGTGGTCATTTCAGAAATACTGGAAATTACTTTTACATCCATTATTGAAGTCCAGGGGAAAGATATGCATGACTTCAGTGTGATTGCCTTGAGTTTATATCATAAACTGAGGTGACACGCTCAGACTAAAGTATTCTCCTAATTATATATTTCCTTTAATGGTTATTACTACATAATTACCCAATATAATTTCACCTTCTTGTGCGTGAAAAATAAAAATCTTGGGTGGTCAGTTTAAATCCAGCCCACATCTGCAGTAACCTTCTATGCATAGAGTTGGCAAAATTCAGATAGTGAGGCTATAGCAGCATTTGTAATGGATGTTTCACCTTTGCTAGCCACAACCATCACCTTCATCTTAAAACTACATCCTAAGAATGACAAAAGCATGGACTAGTTTTTCAACATTACTCTTAGACTGGATGTTTCTTTTTTTCAATACCGATCAGATGAAATAAGGTAGTCCTATAGACTTGTTTCATAAATAAATATAAATTTCAAATGACAGGGAAAATATATAATAAAGATCAGTTCATCACATGTAATTAATAAAGCATTAATTGAGGGTAAGACATTTTGCATAGTTCTGTAGGTATGGTATTTGCATAGACATGCAGATTAAAAAAAACATTATTAGATTTTTAAATGAAATAATTACCAAGGTTGTATGAGGGTGTTTGTTTTTTTTAAAACTGATGTAAACTCCTCCATAGCAACCAGTTTTAGGATCTAGAGGAAAAGTTCAAATATGTAGAGGAATACTTGTGACTTCTTGACTGACAAACACAAACAAAAACACACACTAGCTTCTTTGGATACTGACCAGGTGCAATCATAGAGACAAAATCTTAAATATCTCGGATACATTTGCAGAATGGATACTGGTGAGCTGCTGGAACAAATTGCTTTTGACATCAGACCGACATCACAAGTGATGTGGAAGAGGTTTGTGAATCTGCTGGGACCAGGTGTCAAACGGATCAGAAGAAATTTGATGTCTAAAGCAGAATTAGAACTGCTGCGGTATAAGATAATGTCCAGACAGTAGTACAACAAGAAACAAGTGGCTGAAATGAAACTGATGATGAAAGAGCAGATCACTCTGATCAAATAACAGTAAAATTGTGTTTCCCTGCCTGAACAGAGAATCGAGACTTATTCCAAAAAGGAAACTTAGTTTAAGTATCCCTTTACACACAAAGATCCCACAGTGTGTTTTAAATGACAACATTTCATCTGTAACAGTACCTAATGATCGGGCATTATTACACATGGCTAATAATCTGTAATGCTATTGCAGATAAAGTAATACAAGGCTCCGTAAAACATATCATCTGTGTCACCGCTGCCTGCTCTGCTTTGTCCTGTTGCTGCTGCTCTCCCTGCCTGTGGCTTTGCAGTATGCACGTGGAAATGCAGGGAGGCCTCACAACAGAGAAACAGCAATCAGGACTTAGTGGTCCTGACTTCAGTAGGTAAATATCACACAATTTCTACTTTGTTCTAAAATTGCTGCACCTGGAAAATGACTTCTAAATAAGGAGGTTACCTTGGGGGAGCTTTTGAGTGGATAAAGGGCTGAGATTTTGGGCACTAAGTGTTTGCTCAAGCTTTTTTTTTTCTGCTTTATTCCTCTGCTATTGCTATATTCTCATCTCCAACATGTCTTTCCCTTTCCTGTCATTTTACCTCAGTTTCAATCACACTATGCGTTCATTTGACAACCTTAAATTGTAATGTGGGTTGGTTATTGCTAGAATTGATAGGCAGCAGGAATCAATGCACAGCAACACAACCTTGCCTGCCCCGCGACTGCTAAAAAGCATTTCGATGCAGCACTCAGTTTTTGCTATTGAGCTGCCACTATGTGATGAATATGAAGCCGTGATTGCCTGAGACAGCAAATATATATTCATCATTAGTGAGAACCTTGACACATATAGGAACAGCTTTTCATAAACAGCAGAAAATCTCAAGTTTGGCCGTGAGATATGTCTCCTTGAAGCTGCAGAGCTGACTGTGATGGACATCACCCAACCTCTCTCTGTCTCCCTTACCATGCATATATGCCAGGAATATTAAGATATGAAGATATAAGATATAATCGAGCTCAAGCAGAATGGCTGTGTTGCAGTTTTCCTCAAAGGTGATAAATACTGTGGAGATCAGAAACAGTCACAAATTTGCTTGAATCAAATTTAACCCAAGAGGAAACAGTTCTTAAATCTCTGTTGCCCTCCAGTGTTTGGTTGGATAAATCACATCTCAGTATGCATCACTACTGTATGTCTGTTTTTACTGTTTCAGAGCTGTAGATGCAAAAAAATCACTCATCTGAATAAGTTAAAAATGATAGTAGTCATTTAGATAACAGTTTACAAGGAGAAACACTGAAGCGTGGTTAGTAACTAAGGAACAGTTGATAAATAAATCAATAAGTCATTAATCAATGCTGCTGTAAATCGTAATACAACACAAAAGGGTGATGCTATATTATTGGGTGACTGGTCAATCAGTGTTTCATAAATATCAACGAATAAATCTAAATTCTCAGGCATTAATTAAACGATTAATGACTAAATAATTCTGAATGGCACAAAACTGTAATTCATCATTGTTTCATTAATTAATATGTGTTGCCTTAAGTAATGAAGCATTTTCTTAAAGGAAGACTAAGCAATGGTTAATTAATCTTGTGGTAATGTGGAACTATTATGTAACTTGGTGGTTTTCTGAAGACGGTTTGTATTAAACCCTTGTTTTTCCTCCACTGATGAGTAAAAGCATCTGTTGTGAGAAAGGTCATTCTTAGTAGAGGAAGCTTTGTTCAGTTTCAAAATGACTTCTCTGGAAGAACTTTTTGGCATGAACTTCCAACATATTATTTTCTTGCCTCTTTCACAATATGGACAGGAAGACATTCCTCTCTCTCTCTCTCAAACACACACATGCTCATAAATTTTCCCTTGAAACCTGATAAGCTCCATGTGTTGTATTTACAACAGCTGGACTCCCTAGGAAGAACGAAACATAGAAATCTTGCTCATTATCCATCTGTTGCTGTGCTTCTCTCAACATGAAGGCAAGTAGATTTTGCATGGATACATTTTTCAGTTTTCTGTAAAATATGTCACTGATGTGATTTCAGTAAGAGTAAGTTTGTATTGTCATTGCTGCGATATTTCCGTGGGTGACTGCTATTACCAAAGCTTTTCTTTTGTTTTGCTTTCTTTAACTTTCTTTTCTTTGCTGTGCTTTTTTGTGTTTTCATTTTCCTCCTCAGAAAGTTGCACAACTCTGTGCAAGAGTCTTACCATGGCTCCTCTTCCTGTTCACTGCCAAGGGGTAAATCTGGTTTTTGTTTTGTGCTTTAAAGCATAAATATATTGTGCTTGTTGAACTTTATACGTTGTCATTTATATCGTGTTATGTTGATTTAAACGTCATTTTCAAGAATGTGTAACCAGGAAGTTCATTGCCAGTGGGGTCCTTTTGGCAGTTGGTCAGAATGTGATAGCTGCACCAAATTACAGGTCAGGGAGATTCATTGGTAACTAATTTCTTACCCATACAAATTTGCATGCATTTTCACGTACTGTATACAGTACAGTACAAGAAAGTGTATTCATAATAAAGATTTTTCACCATCAGAAATACTCAAGATTATGTTATTTTTAAAACTTGTGAAGATATTTTGCCATTAATTAAATTATTATTACTTTATATAAATATTTCTTTGTCATCCTGTGGATGCTACAGACAAGAACCCGATCCATGGTTGTCTACGCTCAGTTCGGTGGAAACCGTTGCTATGGAGAGCGAAGCGAGACGAGGCCCTGTGAAACCACACAAGGCTGCCCTATAGAGGACGGATGTGGAAACAGGTTTCGCTGTCGATCGGGTAGGAATCGAAACTGCCCTCACTTCCTTAATCCTACTGAAGTGGTTAAACAATAACTATCTATCTGTCTTTTGACTTGCAGGGAAGTGTGTTAGCCAGTCTCTGGTGTGTAACGGAGATCAGGACTGTGAGGAAGATGGACTTGATGAGAGTAACTGCGACATTTCAGAATACATTGTTTGTTCAAACTCAGTTCCTCCGCCGAACATTGAGATCCTAGGACTCGGGTAAGAGAAAAGTCTTGATCTAGATGTTTATTTTTTATGATTCATTGAGACATTAATCTATGTTTCTGTAGGGTTGACGCTGTGTCAGGAAAGAGCAGAGAAAGTGTCATCAATACTAAGAGCTTTGGTGGCCAGTGCCGCACCATCTTCAGCGGCGTTCACAATTCTGTTTATCGACTGCCCCTTAGTACTCTTCAGTACAGCTTTTTGGTTGGTACCTGTGGAAGAACTTGAACTGTAGTTCATACTGATACTTCTTTGGTCACAATTTCTTTTAAAGTACCCCTTGGATTTGTATTCTAGAGTTAAGGAGTGAATATAGCAATATTTTCTACCTATTCTACTTTTTTAATCTATTCAATCACACATTATTACCATTGGCTTGCTGCCTTTTGCTCTTTTTTTTGTTGCATTAGGCATTTGGCCATTGACTCACATTTGGTGCCCTCAACTTGACATACATTCACATCATCTGCAACATCTCATCATCTTCTCTTTATAAAGTTAATCAGCTCGTTAGAGTTTGTCTTGCTGCTGATGGTGTTTTCTGATTTGTGGATTGAAAAGAGATGTCCAAAGTCCTCTCTGGAAAAACAAACTAACAAAGTGTAAATATATATGTCAACACATTGAAACAATAATTTTAAACCTGTTTTTATTCAAAGTTCAGATTTATGCTCATTTTTAGACATACAGTGACTCATTTGTATGACTCATTTTAACATAAGATTTCTGTAAACACAAAAAATTCACCTGTTTCATCTTATTCACCTGTAGGGTCTTCCCCTAAATCTAGTTAAGTTGTCCAGGTGAGCATTTCATATCTCTAAACTAGAGGAAACCAGACATTGTAACCCCTGTCCCGATTCCAGGTTAAAGTCCAGAATGACTTCAGTGATGAGATGTACACCAGCAAATGGCACTATGCAAAGGATATTGTCAAGAGGCAGACAGTAACCGGGACTACCACGGGATATCGCAACTATGATTTTCATGAACAACACGACAAGACTCAAGTGAGTAGAAACCTAACACTTTAAATAAAAAATGCCTTTGACAAGTCATCTCATGTTGAAACGGAACCTTTTTTTCCTCTTCTTACAGACCAAAAAGCTTTTAGTTTTAAAGAATGACATCGAGGTAGCTCAGTTCCAGACTAACGCTCCTCGGTACATCCCGATATCCGAGGCGTTTTGGAAGGCACTGGTCAAACTGCCATCTGTCTATGACTACTCGGCCTACAGGAAGATTTTGGAAAGGTTTGGAACGCACTACCTGTCTGCTGGAAGCTTAGGAGGCTCCTTCAAAGTTATTGCCACAATTGATGAAGAAACTGAAAACAATATGGGTAAGGATTCATAAAACACTAGTGTAATGGAAGAATTTAAAAATATGGTCTTAGTGGTTAATTCTACCCAGTGTTTTAAGGTGCTAAACAACAAGCCACTGCATGTGTCTATTGCTTGTAATAGTTGTAATATACATTTTTTAAAAATGCATTTGACTAAAAATGCTCAAATATTTCTAAAATGTGTTTTTATATGTAATCAGTTTGTAATGTAATTAAATTATTTATATATATAATTTACATATATATATGTAAATGCTTTAGTCCTGCCTCACTTTTCTGACACTGACTTTACGTTTTCCTTTGTTTTCAAGTCAGCGAAAGTGAGCAGTATGACGAATGTTCAAGGACTAAACGCTGGATTCTCATATTCCCCATCACCACAGTGAACTGTAAGCGAGGCCAGAGCACTCACTCATCAGGCACAGGTACAATTTGGATGATAATTTTACAGATACCAGTACCTATAAAAGCACTTTACCTCTATAAGTTTTTCTGCCATCCACTATCTCTTCAAACCTTTAAAAATAGGAACCAGGAGGAGCAATAATCTGAAAAAAGTGGATGTGGAGGGAGGAGGTGTCTCACATATTGCAGCGCTGAATATGATGAACCTAGATAATCCAGAGAGAAACTGGGAAATGTACTCAAACTGGGCAGAGTCTGTTAGGTCGTTTCCAAAGGTCATAAAACAAAAGGTAAAGAGAACGTAAAATAAGCTATTTGTATGTTAAAAAGCAAGATCATAATGTTTAATGAATCTTATATGGATTTCATCTTATCACTTAATGCAACCTTGCATCGCTTTTATTTTACTATTGTTTCTCCAGCTGCGGCCGCTGTCAGAGCTGGTGAAGGAGGTTCAGTGTCCTGGTTTGAAGAAGCTCTACCTTCGCAGGGCCATAGATCAGTACCTTGCTGAAAGTGCCCCCTGCCACTGCCGGCCATGCAGGAACAATGGAATGGTTGTCATGGATGGAGATGAATGTAAGTGCATCTGCAAGCCTAACACGTCAGGACCAGCCTGTGAGCAAGGAACTGAAGCAGAAGGGCAGCAGGGTGTGTATTGTCTTTCATACAGGATCTTTATTACTGTAGTTTTTTAAGCTCACCAATGTTACTTTTAAAGTCTAAAAGGGGCACATTGCAGTGAAAACCCCCTTTAAAAAACAAGTGTTCTTTTTCCTTTTAGCTTTTAGCTTTTGTGTTGTGATTATGCTTAGAAATGCCAAAATAGCCCTGTGGGGCTGGCAGATGTGAGATTGGTGTCAGGCTTACTTTCAGGATGAAAACAAGGATATTAACAAACTGTTAAATTGGGTTAAGTCACTATCATGGGTGGGGGTAGGATTTAATCGAGGCTAATATCAGACAGACTTTATTATTGTCCTTAATTTCTTTCTATTTCTTATTTTCCATTTCTGGTCATTAAGGAGTGATCCATGGTAGCTGGACCTGTTGGTCTGCCTGGTCATCGTGCTCTGGGGGCCGAAGGTCTCGTAGTCGTTCCTGCTCTAACCCCTACCCTCAGAATGGGGGACAGCACTGTATCGGAGAACCAGCTGAGACGTCCGACTGCGAAGATGAAGAGCTGCAATACTTAAGGTGAGAGCTTAAGTTTGTTTTGTGGGTTTTATGAGTTTTTTGTTTGTTTGTTTGTGCTGCGTGAATTTAGTGACATATTTGTAACAAGCACTGTGTTCATTGCATTGAGTTTCCAGTAAGAGAAAGTGTCAAACTGATTTTCATCAATATGTAGTTATGCAACACATACTTTTTCTACAGAACTATGGAGCCTCAGTGCTTCGACTATACTCTCCCAGCAAGTCAGAAGTGTGGAACCCCACCTGCTCTGATCAATGGCTACATTCTGGTAAAAATAGAAATTTTCACCATGGTGTGGAACAAATGATTACAAACATTTAGTATTTATTAACCAGACTAACTGCTACTTTTGTAGTGCTTGAACAGTGTTTTGCACAAAGTCACAGTACAGTGTTAGAAAAAGAGTTACGGGAAGAGACTTGAAACTGAAGCTCTAGTATCTCCTATCTAAGTGAAAGAGAGTCTGCCTCAATGTTACTGAGTTTATTAGTTATCTTTAAATATTTTGCTGAATTTTATATCTTCTCTTCCCCATAATAGAGATGTGTTTTGTCCTTGTGTCTCTATGTTCTCCTCTGTGCTCATCCTCCAACCATTTTTGGCAAATGGCTGCTCTTCCTGCTGCCACTTGTTCCTCATAGGGGAACTACAAGTGGTACTGTCTTATAAAGTGCCTTGAGGCAACCCTTGTTGTGAACATAAATAAAAACTGAACCGAGCTGAGTTACATACCCACATCAAAGCTAAGAAGTTGAACTTGATGATCTTATCTTTATTACATGTGTCACAGGATCCAAAGGACATTTATCTTGTGGGTAGTAAAGTTGAATACACCTGCACTGAAGGTTTTTATCTTGTTGGTCACAGCACCATAGAGTGCACTGCTGATCAAACCTGGTCTGCCCGGCCTGGATTGTGCACAGGTGAGTAAATAAAGTTTAACATTTAGTGTATCATAATAATGAATTGCTGTGTCACATTGTAAAATTACACATTTTCTTCAAGTTACAAGTTGCCAGATTGGACTCCTTGCAGATGGTGTCATAGCCTCTCCTTTAAAGGAGACCTATGGCATAGGAGAGTTAGTAACATTCTCCTGCCCAGCGGGTAAACGGCTAACAGGCGAAGCCACGGCTATTTGCAATCCCAGTCTGGATTTTTCACCAAACCCAGCAGACGTCAGGTGCATCCAAGGTAAATTTTACATCAAGCTTTATAATCCTTTAGCTCTCTGCTAAAGGACTGTCCTGGACTGCCATGTAACAAAATGAAATATGATGAGCTCTATATTTAGTCATTCAGTGTAGAGAATCAGTAGACAATGTGGAACAGTGATTTCTGTGTATTCCACAGACAGCGCACCAGAACCAAGCATTGCTCCTGGAGTGCAGTGTAAACTGTGGGAGAAGCCTTCCAGAGGAAAATGTGTTTGCAAAATGCCTATTGAGTGTGGGTATGTTTATTCTGCTAATAAATAATTTGGTCATGTCAGTTTTGGCAAACTGGCTAATGATACTGATTTACTGTGTTTTTTGTGCTTTGTGCCCACCGGCCAGTTCATCTTTGAAGTTGTGTGCCACAGCTGCTGTAGGTAGAAAATCGGTCCTTCTGGATGTGTGCAAAATGAATGCATTGCAATGTATGGGGAAGAAATATATGACAGCAGAGGACAGCACCTGCATTTGGCCACAGCGTGATACAACAGGTTGCACCGGCTGCCACATGTGGGAGAACTGCGATGGTATGAACATGTGAAGTGACAAATGAACTATTATAATGTACAGCAGTTTGTAGTAATTCATGCTGTTTGTCTTCACACGATTTTCTCAGATCAAGCCAATGACTGTCGCTGTAAGGACTCTGCAGATTGTGCGAACCCTGGGTATAACGTGTGTGTCCGTGTTGGAGAGGATGAGACTGCAGCCACACAGACCATGAGTGAATGTGAAGCAGGACTTCGGCGATGTAAGGGAGAAAAAGTGTTTGTTGTCAGTATCCAGCCCTGCACCTCCTGAGCATTCAGGGCAGGAGCTGATTGACTGACCTCTCTTATTGGTCTTCTTTTATTATCCCACTTTGAAATATTCCACAAATTTTTTTGTGTAGCCAATGTTTTTTGTTTTTTTTATGCTAAGATTTAGCACACTTTAAAGGCACATTTTTTGCATGCATAAAAATAGAACAATACTGTATTAACAATAAATAAAAAGCACATCAGTCATGTTTGATCTTTCTTCTTTTGTATTACTAATATTGAGACCAAGAGATATGTAATATTCTCACAGACAAACATAGCATAATGGACTGTTGGTTGGGTTTGAGAGGTAATGTTTGGAAATCTGTTTTTCAGGCTCGAGAAAGTGTAGGGCTTCTCACAAAAGATGTCTTGTGCTTACTAAACCCGACAAAGCTCATCCTGCGAAGCAAACCCCTGCTGACAGTCTATTCCTGCCTCTGGCTTGCAGCCCTCGCACAGTGTGAATGCACGTCTGCATGTGTGTCTGAACCTGTCCGTGAATAGCTGTGAAGACACCAACTACTTAATGTTTTATCATCAATTCAAGAAATACTTATGGTCAGCAGAATGATTTTCTAGGTTTGAGATGTTGATCACAAAGACTGATAGTTGGGGGAAAGGTGTTAAAAGTGCATCTGAGCTGCCATTCTTGAAGGGATAATGCATACAAATTGATGGTTTTTGGGTGAGATGTGGTAAAAAAAAAAATTCCTATCTATCTATCTATCTATCTATCTATCTATCTATCTATCTATCTATCTATCTATCTATCTATCTATCTATCTATCTATCTATCTATCTATCTATCTATCTATCTATGAAAGAAGGACAGAGAGAAAAAAAAGCACAAATAATGGCATACATGTTTGTTCTTTGAATGCAAACCACCTAATTTGCATTTAACACAGTCAATTTATCTAATTAATTCAGTGTAATTTTACTGTTTGAGCTTTACCAGAACGTGCTAGACAAGTTTGTCTCTGTTGATTGTTTGTCTCCACCCGGTGGACATTTCAGTTCATGCAAGACAATGACAAACACTGGTGGATGAGTTTCAATAACAAAAGTTTTATTAACAATGTAAAATGACCTATATCAGCTTTGACTACTGTACCTTCAGCTTGCCATAAACAGTGATCACTATATTTAATAAGCTGCGCTCTGTCTGCTTGACTGCCCAAGAGAGAGAGATGCTCTCTGCTTATACCAACAGCTTCTTTACTAACCACCTGCAACCTTGAAAATAATTCAGAGAGCATTGCGTAAAGAGTATGTGTATATACAAGTCTAATGTCTCGATTTATAGATAGATATTGTGTGCAAAGAAGTTTTCTTTTGACTATTGTATCTTCTATTCCATTTTGAAGCTGGAAAGTTTAAGTTGGGTACAGGTTCTTGTTTTATGGAAGACTAAATTAAGTACATTGAGAAGAAAAACAGCAAGGAACAGAAAACGGAGACTGTAATACACAAACGTATTCTTCACAAACCTGTCATTTCAGCTTAGACAAACGACAGTAAAACTTTGTCATTGCAAGAGCCGTCCTCAGATGTGTGAATGGCATCTGTTCATAAGTTATCACATTATTTCTGACAAAATGGACATTTAGATTCCCTTTTTTTAAAAAAAATAAAAACATAAATCCACATCATTCACTCAGGCTTGTGGAAGTAACAGAACATTGATATTATCATTTCAGACAAACTCTCATTCCCTTTTACATCAGACAAGCAGATATCGCACTTCGTTTACCAAAAAAGGGGAAAATCTGTTGCAAAATATCTTAAAATATATGTTCATGACTTTTGTTTTCATTACACTGCAGTTACAATTCTTCTTCGTATTACAAAATAAAATTATAAAATGGGCAGCCGTTAAAAAAAAGAGAAAGAGACAATTTATTTGAAAATGGCAGTAATAGATTGGTGGGAGACACAAGTGGTGAAGGACAGTGGGTAATGGTGTCTTTGTTGCCGCCTCCTACCCACAAAGGCGGGGCCCTTAGCTGGTTACCAGGCAACAGAGCCCAAAGAACCGCCTCTTCCTCTGTCGGACTAGTGGGTAGGGAGTCAGGTTCAGCAAACTGCTGTCATCTGGGCGAAAGAACACACAGACACCACAGCCAAGTCATGCATTTTTCCTCATTTGAGCTACGATGCAGTCCACTTAAACCAGTACCTCTGCTTCACAATGAATAATTCTGAAAGTGTTACTGCTTTTTGCATTTTCTTTCTCACCTTGGTTCTTCAGTGGTAAAGGCATTGTCTCCCTGAGTTTACTGAGAAGGTTCTTCATCTCCCTCATATCCCTGCAGTAAGGCAAATGGCTTTTTATGTTGTGTACATAAAGTATCCATAATATATGCAGTACATACTCGCATTCAGAAAAGCACAAAATCAGGTTTCCATTATTGGATTTTCTGGAGACTTTCCTCCCTAACTCGAACTCTTAACTTAATGTTAACCTAGGGACTGTATTTCAATTTATTTCATAATGTATTTCATAGCAGGAGTCGTAAACACACACGGTGTCTAGAAAAATAAGTAGTAGTAGTAAAATAAGTGTGTATACTTCTTGTTTTGAAATGTTGAAGCTTTGACACAAATATCTGATTATTTTTGGTATACTTCTATTGTTTTGTAAACTCAAATCTTAAATCCAACTGTGAGGTAAAACTATAGACCCACACAAACTACATAAATGTAATTTCAAGAAAGCCTTAGCTGATAAAAAAATATAAACATCCCAATGAATCTTATAATACAACATGTATTCCCAGTGTATTAAAATGCAATTTAATGTGATACGATACTTTGCATTATGTTCTTATAGGAAATGTAACAGATTACCCACCAAAATATATGTGAAATATTTGTTAAATCATAATAAAAACGCAAGTGCAGACACAGCACCTACGTACATCCCGAAGGACACAACAGAACACACTTTGTTTACCTACTTTTCTATGTTTTCTATGTCAGTGGCCACCAGCCAGCAGAGCTGAGGACAGTCAGTGGGGGAGGAAGAGGTGTCCTCCAGAATGGGGATGTCTGAGCTTTCCTCCGTTTTACCATCTAAGCCGGGAGGGCCACACGAGTCGTTACCTAAAGCACACAGAGAAATGCCTTAATCGTGTTTCCTCACTAGATACTGACCTAAATTATTTATGTCATTTGTACACAGTTATTTGAGTTTACTGATCGGTTTAGTGATGGCATTACTGGAATGACGGTGACGTTAGAGATACAAAATCCCATTTGTCCACATGTTTCTTTAAAAAAATTAAAAACAAAACAAAGCATACTATCTATAAACTATCCATGAGGCTTGTCTGTGTATTAACCTTTCCTGTGGAGCTGCAGCGATCCCAGCAAGCACACAGATTTGAGCATCTCTGTGATGTACATCTCCAGACAGCACTGCAGCTGGATGAAGAGCCTACAGATCTCAGGGTGGATTTCCCCGTCCTCTGGCCTGAAATGGCACATGAAGAGAACAAAGCTTACCAGCCAGGTGGAACTTGGTAGACAAAATAGTCTCTGCAAGTCTCTATGAGCATTACAGTAGTTGTTAATTCATCCGTGTATGTGCTAATCTTGAGTCTGAAACCAGCAGCAGCTTAAATAAATATTAGTACTAAACCAAAAAGTTAAAACGAAGAAAAATATATTCCACTCTAAGGATGTGTTACTGACATGTCTAATTTGTTTGACTCATTTAAACTGTAAATGCAATATCTGTTGAAGAAATATGATCACCTACATTGGTAACTTATGCACTGCCTGTTCTTGTAATTTGAGGGTGCACATCTGTGTCACATCTGTGACAAATGCGAGTCACATGCTTTTACTTGGAAATATCTTTACTTAAGTGAATAAATGAGGGCTGGACCTGGTGATACTCGTGGTATTTTCTGTGCGTGATTACAGAAAATCTGTAACCTGAAGAATAACAGCAAATTCTTAATACCAGGTTTTAAGGCCAGAGAGGTTTATGAACTCAAATATGCATTAAAATGTTTGAGCAGAGTGTTTCCTAATCAAAGCTTAAAGTAAGCCTATAGAGTCTGCAATGATAATAAACATACTGTGCTTCTTATCCATGTTTTTTACAGCAAAGTTCAAATTGCTGCTGTCTCTGTGATTGTGCAAGCGTCTATATGTAGTGCTTACTTAACTCCCTGAGAATATATAAATAATATGCACTGAAGAGATTCAAGCAACACAAAAGCCCGTCACAATATTTTTCATTCAACCGGAGCTGATCATTAGCTTTTATGAGACATCGCAGTAGCTTCACAACTATATTAATCGGGTTTTCAAAGGGAAACAGCAGGTGATATCCAGTGGGTGTAATATCACATGGGAAAGTGACAGCGATAAAAGGCGTGAAACTTGGTACAAATCTTTCTCACACAAATCATGCTCTAGAATTCACCTCTTCCAACAGCAAGCTTCTCCTTGCCATCACCGTTTTGTCACAGTGCCGCTTTACTGTTGCTCAAGCACAGCTGTCACCAGTGCTATCCCTCTAATCAGCTTTCCCCCTGCACATCGGAGGGACCTCGCATCATTCAAACCATTCTGACACACTGGGTTTATTTTATTAAAGGGGAATGAACTGGTTTAATTCAAGCTCTGTCTCTAGTAGCGGAGACAGACACTTAGATGGCCGAGAGAGCTTTTAGGGAAGGAGTTTTTAGAATATGTGCTGGTGATAATAATGGCAATGATGCAGATGCTGTTATCAGTGAGAATTTAAGAGTTCTCTCTAAAGCTACTACACCATCTCCATTTAGCAGCAGAAGCTGGAACATTTAAGAGCACAGTTTCAATGGCTAATAGTCTTTTTTCTGCAGATACAGGTATAACTGTATTTAGGTGTATAATTATGAGCCATGCAGTTGAAAAACAACAGTGAAATGGTTCATTTTCCACCACTGCCCTGCTGCATTAAGGTATATTATTATTTAAAGCAACTAAATGCTCCTATTCAAATAAAGTTACATTCATGATTCATGCATGTGCACAATGGGAGATGTGCACTGAACATATTCAGTGTCACGCATCAAACATGTAGTTTTAAAACCCCACTAGAGTGAATTAAAATAGAAAAGAATTCAGCTTAACACTTTTTAAAACTGGACTTTGTAAAAAATATGGTGACAAATAATTTCTAATAGAAAAGGATCTCTCGTGGTTTAAATATACAGTATGTCCAGTGGTAGGAATTTGCCCCTTCTGCAAGATAAATCATGATGCTGTTATTGTTCCAGCAGCACCCAGGCTTTGGCAAGCAGCTGGCACTGCAGACGTCCTCCAAATCTCTCTCACCACTGGCTTCAGTCTGTCCGATTGTTATTTAAGTAAGTTTGAGTGTGCCAAGTTGGCTGGCATCTTAGCCTCACTGAGGATGTTAAAATCCCAAGCCTCCCTTTGCCCTTCTTCTACTGGCGCTATTGTAGAGGAGATATTGTGGGCCAAAACAGCAGTCCTTTCAGGCTCCTAAAACAGCTGTTTTCCTGTATCTTGAATCAAAGCTTTCATCACAAACAAACCACTTGAAATCTAATTTAACATGAAAATCTACTCAGAATCACTAAACAGTGAACAAACTTTGGATCCAACCACTTTAATTTACTGTTTCATTGTGATATCATTTGTTTTTGATGAGCAAAAGAAAAAAAACTCCCAAGGATTCCGATTCTTAAAAAAAATCTGTACTGAAGAAGCCACTCTCTCAATAAATTACAAGAAAAAGAAGAAAAAAAAACGTCATTGGCTCCACATTATTGATACTATTATCTCAGATATTAGTCCCGGGAAGCATTCCACTTTCCCTCCACTTTGTGCATTAACGTTTTAGGTCAGCTAATGGGAAGTGATCAGTTACAGTATGTTGTTGTGATTGCTTCCTGGTAAAGCTCTCCTTCTAACAAATTAGAAATGTCATGATTTTTAAAAGCTGATCTCATGTTCTGTTTTCCCACATACTTTGCCCACCACGAAAAAAAAAAAATCAGTCCTTTAATGGGACAAGCATTAGATGGCCTATCGAAAGAACATTCTTATAAAAACACACACAAAAAAAATATTCAGCAGCTCAAATGTTGATACTTGTGCAGGTTTACTTTGGTAAAATTAGCTACTTTTTTTAACTTCCGGCGCTGCAGTGTTGCAGAGCGTTCAGCCACTGATGGCTCTTCATTTTCAGGACCACGGACAGCGTCTGTGCCAACTCACCCCGATATCAAGGAGAGACTATGGTGTGCCGCTCGCGCCATTTCGCAGCCTTTGGTTCGGGTCCTCAGCATTTCGGCCCGTAACGAAGGACAGTCGACAGTGATCTCGCCAATTGAGATGACCAGCTCACGGTACAGAGCCACAAGTGTATTGAATTCTTGGACGATCTGCATTACAGTGAGATAATAAGTCACACAGACACAAAAAGTTATTACCTAACGAACCAGACAAGTAAGCATCACACAAATAAATTGCAGGATAGTCTTTATCCTCAGTCCGACCTGTCAACATGAAAACGCGTCAGCCAAGAAGGAAATGCTGAGCAGCATTTTACAGCCCCCCCCCCCCCCCCCCCCAAAAAAAGACTAATGGGGACAAATAATGCTCCATGTGCAGTTAGACTGTCATGTGCTTCATTTCGAAAATTGCAGCCTTGCACATGTGCAGTCACCGATCCTTGCGAAAAACGCGGAAAGTGAAGCACAGCCCGCAAAGTAAGACTGCACGATAAACCAGCTGATTGTTGAATTGGTTGGTTTTCCATCATGCTAAATTTGGTTGTCTGCACAACCACGAAATTTGAGCTTGGGGCACAAGTATTCTGCTCTTTTTGTGCACCTCCTGCATAGCATCCTGCTGTAGTCCTGTAAACGAACAGCGAGGCTCCATGACGATCACTGATGTATGAAAGGGTGAAGTAGGCTTTATCATTCCTGTCAGCTTCTGTCAAAGCACATATGTGCCAAGATCATGCACTCCACCATGGGTAATCTTGTCATTCGGGCAATGCTGAAATCATTCCAAATCACCAGCAGCTTTCCACACTTTAAATGCAAATCACATAGTCAATCTGCACGCCGAGGTGTTCTGTTTGGCTTCACTGCCGACAAAGCAATGCAAATGCATAAAGCTATTTTTAGGCTGCTAGACCGGGTTAGAATCTTTTTTTTTTCTTTTTTTTTGCAGCTATTAAGAGCTGTCGCCTGTGCGGCGTGCATGCACGGGGTATTGGAACATCCTTAAACAAAGAAAGGTTGCGATAATAGCACAGCACTCCTTATCAGAGGCACCATGCAGGCACTAACGTGCCGCAAACCTACCATTCTGCAGTCGGCCACGGCGCGCTGGGCTTTGCGGGTACTTGCGGTGCTCTCCCTCCTTTGTGAGTCTCGATAAGGAGGCTTGCCGATCTGGAAGATGTTCCCGGCGGATCTGGGGCGATTTTTGCGCCCATTCGATGCAGAACTCATGCATACACATCCACTATTAAAACAGCCCTAAGACAGAACGATTTGGTCTTATCCCCCCAAACTCCACCACTTTCTCTCTTCCTGCCTTACCACCCTGCACCTTACTGTTCACCTTATTCTCTCCTCGATTTACGCTCAGCTCACCTTCGCCAGCTATTGGCTGTGTTGAAACTCGAACGCTATTATTGCTCTATGTCTTACGTTCTTTCCCCCTAATGTGGGAAAGGTAGCAATTTTTTCCCAAGAAGAGCCCTAGAGCGCAGGTAAAGTACCGGATGAGAGCCCGTGACTCCTCTCCGCATTGCCTTGACTGCGACGGGGCGCAAGTCACCTTCACTCCAGCAGCACACGGTGCACAGTGAAGACTTCACACCCAACCCGGACTCCAGCTAGCTGAGGTGTCTTTTCTGACGCACCGATGTCAAGAGGGAACGATCGCATTCACGGATATTCTCCAAATGCAACCATTTTTTATGATTGCGCGTTTCCATTAAGCACCAATAAGACGGACGGTAACAGTCTTTTCTTAGCTATACAACCTCCTATTAAGACGAAATAACACGGCCAGTGTCCACGGCGACAATTTCACAGCGTACAACTGTGCCGGAAAACGTCGAAAAACTTAATTCCTGCTCTCGCGGTCTCAAGTCGGCTCCCAGTCTGTTTCCTTGAGTGTTTCCAGCTATTAGGAAGGGCCTATATCTAACCTTGGAGAGGCAGTAGAAGAACAGTTGCTACAGGCCTGACGTGGCTGGCAACACTGCGCACCCAAAGGACGCGAATACTAATAGGGCCCATCAACTCAACCCCCCTCCTCCCCCATGCTGACATATCAACTCCTGTACGTATGAAATTGAGGTCACTGGCCACTTTACCTCCACCACAAGTACCGAGTGGAGACAAAAAAGAATGAATTGAACACTTCCGTTAAAAATGAGCCTAAAGTGATTCTCTTTAGTTTTTAATATCACAAATTATTACTGCGTTTATACTCACATGCAGGTTAACTTAACAAGTGCTTAAGTTTCTGTTGTTACATGTGTGTCCGTCTACCTTTACAAGAATATAATTAACATAAAGAATGAAAAGGGTGGGCTACAGCTATATTACCGTTACTTAACTGGAAAAAAGTGCACGTTCAGCTTGTAGATAGTGTATCGTTTATTTTACATTTTGGATAGTTCAAGATTTAGCTTCGTTTCGACTAATAAAAATGCAGTTTTATCATCAGACCCTAAAACACAGTTGGGGTTGAGATATACATTAAAGTTAAAAATGCACAAAGACAAACTATTTTTTTACTATATATATTATGAGTATATAGATGTGTAACTGATCAATAAACGTTTTGTGTGTGTGTGTGTCTGATTACACCACAAAAGATCATCCAGGAAATACGTTATTTCAGCATGGGCACCGCTTTACTATAAGAGTGCCAGAATCAATTACTGGCTGTTGATGAGTGCTTTTCTCTCCTTGCTTTTCACAACCACAAATAGAAAAGTTTGCAGCAGATATTGTGAATAAATCAGTGAATGTGTATGGAGTGCTCTTCCTGACATGCATTACCATGAACACAAAGGAAGACTTGCGTGTGGAGTTGAAGACGCAATCACATATATTAGTGGCACAAAAAAGGCAAGGCAGAGAATTAGTTTGTGATATTTACTGTATAGTGACAATTAGTTTAAAGTAAGTTTTTGTGATCAATGTTTTCGGACAAACAAAAACCCATAAACATATCAGTAGTATGAACAACTACAGTAAAAGTTCAGCAAAAAACAAACAACCAAAGAGAACCATAACAGCCACACACAAAAAATGTAAAAAAAAAAAAAAAAAAAAAAAAAAAAAAAACTTGTCCAAAAGGAGGCAAGACAAAAAATGGGAGATGAACGGCTAGAGAGCAGAGACCAATGAAGCAATCAGTTCAGTAAAGGTTTAAGATTCTCCACAGCTTGGGCCCAAAGTTTAACTACACCTTCTTTAGCTCCACAGATTTAGGCTATGGAGAGTTTAAGATAAGCACATCCATGAAAGTGAGCAGCCATTGCTGCCAAATGAGCATTTGAAGTTTCCATCTTGTGGCAATCAACTTCTTAGCAGCTCTGAAACCAGCTAAAAACACTTGTCTCTGAGCCTTATGCAATGTAAGTTGATCTAAATAATTTAAAATTGAAATGTATGGGGAAAGTGGACCAGAAGTATGTAATAAACACAGATTTTCTTAAACCATCATTTACAGCAAGCTAAGCGGCACTGACTAATGTCTAGTTTTAGAGCTGTGAGCAATGCATCCACACTGAGATTAAAAGCCTGGTGCATACTTTATATGAAGCTGCTATAGAAATAATGGAAACTTGTAGAAAAAGTTCAAATAAAGAAGTTTTTTATATCCCAAACTAAAAGTTTGAAATGTGTAAGATGTGTGAGATGTGTGAATTCTTTGGCAAAAAATAGAAATGACCTAAAATGTCTTAAATAAAAATTTGTTGCATCTACAAACCTGTATGAAGTTTAAATGTTATTTCATATAAATTGTAATAAGTTAAACTAAACATGCATGTAGCCAATATAGACTCACCAGTAACCTAACATCCAAATCTGTGGAAGGAAAACCAGAGAGAAGGGAGGGAGCATGAAGGGAAACAGGAAGAACATGCAAACTAAACAGAAAGTCCTCACCTGACCAGACCATTTAAAACCAGAACCAGCAGTACTGAGCACTGCACCACCATCATGGTGCCCCCATCAGGTATAAGCATTATTAGCATTAGTAATATGTTGGGGAAAGCATTCATGAAACCACAAATGAATGTTCCCATACCTTAAAGCACATTTTTTTGTGTGTTTTTCTAACGTTTCGTTTCGTTTTTCTTATTGCGATATCCAACCTCTACAGTCTTATTAGACCCTCATCAGTCTGTTTTCTTTTAACTAAGATCTGCTCATTATTTTGGTTAATTCCACTTACAGGAATACAACAAGGATGCAATTTAAACTTATTTTGCATTGAGTGTTTGCTGCATTACAATATGTTTAATCAACAGTAACACATCTTAAAAATGAAGTGTCTGCAGTGGATGGAAGTTGGTAATTAAAAATTTCACATTGAAATTAATATGTCCTTGGACATTAGAAAAGTAATCACACTGGGAACAGTTCAAGTGGCTGTGCTGTTAAACAAAAGTTTAGGCATTGAAAAGTGTAATGGGATCATGTTGAAACACTGCAGCCTAACATGTTATATTAACATGCTGTTCGTGTTGTTGAGACACAAAACTGAGAACACTGGATTTTCCTTATTTCAGTGATTTATTAGAGATGTGAAGCTAGCACACTGATGGTTTTCCTCTACTACACCTCCTCACCTGCTTGAAATTCACTCACTGCGTTTTCATTAAACCTTACAGCTTAAGTTGACCCCCCTTTGCATACTCGCTGCATCATGTTTATGTTATGTCCTCACTCCCCTTTACCCCCACCCACCCCAAATTTATCTTCAGCCTTACCTTATTTCTATGTTACCCCAAAATTGCTGCCAGGGCATCAAAAAGAGGGGAAGAAGAAATAGCAAAGAAAGCAGAATATGAAGAACCCAATAACCCAGTTCACTGAGTAGATGTAGATGATGACCATGTCCATGTCAAATCGCCAGCCACGAGTGTCATCCTCGAAATCCATGGTGTCCAGAGGGTAGCCTTCTCCGTGGGGGAACTGGCGTCTAGCAATAGGACTCGACTGCCTCTGGAAGCCTGGTTTAAATGAGAAATAAGTCATTTTGTGTAGTTAAAAAAGCAACAATTTCCTCTGGGGTAATTAACACACATAACCTCAGTGTTTTGATAAATGTTAGACGACAGATTTTGATACAACTAGAGCTGCTATTGAAGACATTTACAAATTCATACAAATGAAAAGTGCACAGGATTATTTTTAGTCTTCTGTGAGGCCTTGAGGTACAATTACGATAAATAGGTAGCACAGCATACACGTGTCATATTGTCAAAAGTCACAAAACAACAGCGCTCTTTAAGTGCAGCTTCATAAAATACTAGCTATGCTTTATCTTTATATAGTTTTGCTGTTGTTGCAGATGACGTTGCTTAAATATGACCCCACTTTAGAGGGAATTAAAAACTTGCCTCCAAAGATGCGGAAGAGTTTTCTGCAGCTCGGGAGAGGCCACTTTGCACAGCTTGCTTTCTGAAAGTTCTGTTTCCGGGAAAGGTATTCCTTTGGAAAGAATGTTCTTGCTGTTTGGTTTAGCTCTATATAAATACATATTTTAAAAAAGACACAAAGTTAATGCAATAAAAAAAACCCGACCATTTTAATCACTTCTTCATAGCTTGGCTAGATATGTTTGATTTACTCAACACATTCACTAACAGCACATATAGCGTCACTTGCTTCTCTGATTATCTCCTTGTTCTGTGACCTTGGCTCTGGTAATCAACACGACAGTCTAATCTTGTCATCTAATCATTAACAAGAGCCCTCAGTGTTTCTACAGTCCTCCTCACCATCTAATCCATGCTACTATATACATCTAGAAATAGGCTGGGATGAATAATAAAAGTTTTTCAGTGATTCATAAATTTGACCAAAATCAAACCAAAATTGTATCTAATAAATTATCCCAAGGTGACAAAATACATTTGTTAGCACACACCACAGAAATATACACAATACATATATTATTACAGTAATAACTACTATTATACTGCTTAACATTGTGGTGAAAAGGTTTCCCTACAGCCTTAGGGTTCCACTTTTTACTGGTTTAAAGAAACCCTAAAACATCTGCTCCTATTATTACAGTTCATTTCCACCCACGGGGAATACTACTTCTTATTTCCATTAGAAAGCACGGAATCAAAGTGCTCAGACTGTGTTTGATTTTGTCTTCTCAGTCTAAGTGACTCATCTGGTCAAAGCTGAACTTAGGTCTACTCTGCTCCCTGTGGGACATCTGCAGCTGGGCCCTCTGAACAATCTGCAGCTTAGATGTTGTGTAGCAGCCAACACAGGAATAAAAATATAGCTGAAATCGTTTGTCCTTAATGTCAGATTTTTACATGAAGTTGTTTTTTGCTTTATTCAGTCTTTAGTGCTGAGGAAGTTTGATTAAGTGATTATACAGTAAGTGGTCCTTGCTCATCATCTCACCTTTTTGGAAGAAAACATGTGTGATGATTGTTCTGCACAGGGGGCAGGGGGTATTAGTGGGGCTGTTCTTAGCCAGCGTCCTAAGACAGGGCTCACAGAAGATGTGATTGCACGGGTGGCACATGTAAGGACTGAAGTACACATCCAAGCAGACAGCGCAGATGTAGCCCTCTCTGTCCCCGGTAGTCAGGGCCTCATCGTCCTCACTGCTGCTGCTGGATGGGTTTCCTGTTGAACTCTGGGAAAAAACAGAAGTAGAAAAGAACATTTTAATTGTTAAAAATATCTTTTCTTGTGTGACCACAAACCTGCTTATGTTTGCATGTGTGCATATTTAAAGCTCCAATATTAGAATGATAAAACCCATTTTTGCACAGTTTTGGCTATATGGACTAACCTCTGAGACAGTTATATTAGTATCTTGCCTAGGATTGGATAACAGCAATAAGAGAGAGCAATCCAGAGATTTGACCCTTCACGTATGAGATGTTAAGTATAAATTATCACTACAAGATGCTACCAGTTAGCATTAAATATAAGTGAAAATGTCCTCTTTCACAGTTCTCTTCTATTTGAATTTCTTTTCTCTTTTGATGAATGTAACCCTCTTTGA